ATGCATTTTTTCTTATTCCTAGAGTAGATTTACAAAATTTAAGATGCATATTTTCAATAGGGGTTTTGTCAGTAAAATCAAGTTGATTAATTTGTTTTCCTGAAGATAAGGCTCTGTTTTTGGCTCTATGAAAAGAAATATATGTATCCAAGTATGTTACTTCTGAATTATAGTCATAATTGGTTTTACTAAAGAATCAAAAAGACTATTTGCTACTTTTATAGGTAGATAATTCAATGATTTAGTATAGGACTTTATTGCAAAAAATACTTTTTTTGCTTTTTTTGTCAGCTCTAAAGTACTTTGTGATAAATTTCCTTTACATTTTATCAACATTCCCAAAAATGAATATTCTGATATGCTCTCTATGGCTTCATTCTCATAGGAAATATGTGATGTTTCACCATTTTGTTTGGACTGACTGAAAATCATGGATTTTGTTTTATTTGTATTTAAAGAGAGTTGTCATTTGTTACAAAATAATTTAACATTATTTAAAGTGTTTTGAAGACCCTCTTTCAATTCTGACAGGATCAAAAGATTATCCGCAAAAAGGAGGCATCCCAACTTACTATTTATAAGCTTAAGGGGACTTGAATCATCTCCCTCAAAAAATTTTAAAATATCATTTATGAAGACATTAAATAAAGTGAGGCTCAGGGTGTCTCCTTGTTTAACCCCTCTAGCAATATTAAAAAATTCTGTTACATAATCTTTGTTTTTCAAAGATGTTTTAGTATTTAAGTATTGTTGTTTTAGAACTCTGTAAAAAGACCTGCCAACTCCCATTTTGCATAATTTATAAAGTAAAGCAGTTCTCCATACTGAATCAAATGTCTTTTTTTAGATCTATAAAGCAGGCATAAATCTTTTTTTTTTCTTTTTATGTAAATATTTATTAATCAAGGACTTCAATAAAAAGATGCTATCAGCTGTTCTGTGATTTTCTCTGAAACCAAACTGACAATCACTTAATTGTTTGTCAACAATCTTGATTAGCCTATTATTCAATATGGCATTAAAAATTTTTGGTCGATTACTTATAAGACAAATTCCTCTATAATTACTAGGGTCTAACTTGTCACCTTTTTATGTAAAGGGATCATGAAAGAAAATTTCCATGAATCTGGATAATTACCTGTCATTAAATTCAAATTAAAAACTTTTACAATAGAATTAATTATCACAGGTTGTGAATGTTTATTCCATTCACAATTCTATCAATATTATTTCATTCACAATTCTATCTGGACCTGCTGGTTTGTTTACTTTAAGGTTTGAAATGACCAGTTTTACCTCAGCAAATGTAATTGGTGCATCAGTTTCCATATTCAATTCAATATTATCCTCTAGAATGTTTAATTCATGTTCCAGTTTATCTACAAAGGGTTTATCATATGATGCTGGTGTACCCTGATCCTGAAAATGTTTTATGATTTTATTTTCATTCATTAAAATTTCAGGAATATCTTCTTCAATATTTGGTTTCTGTTTATTGCCTTTAGAACATTCCAGTATTCTTTTGGATTATTTTTAAAATTATCTGAAAGTGATTTATAAAGTTTTTGGTGATATTCAATTTTTTTCTGTTTAATCATTTTTTTTAGTTTTTTACATAATTCAAAATATTTAGGTTTTAAACTTTCATTGTCATTTAAGTTATTCTTGATTTTATTTCCCATATAGTTTATTTGTCTTTTTGTTTCATATACACATGTACTGTCCATATAACTTGTTTAATTTTTTTCTTTTTCTTTTTAGTTGGTTTAGATATGCCTTAACACACAGTACATGTATTTTCTGCAAAAGTTTGTAAAATTTTTGTAAGTTTTTCAGTTGCACCATCAACGCCTAGTTTATTGCTATCAAAATGTTGCATCTCTAAATCTAAAATTTCCTTTTTAACATTTTCTGTTAATAGAACATCAATTAATTTTGAAAATGACAATTCTGTCCATTTGTATGATTTAATCAAATGCCATCTCTTTTCATCTAAACATTTCTTCATACATGTATCCAGAGACATATAATACAATATTATATGTCTCTGATGTATCTGATATAATAGAACAATTCATATATAAGTTTATTTGAACATGATCTGATAAACATGTAAAGTCATTTGTTTTAAAGTATTTTACCTCAGACAGGAGACTCTCACTTGCAATGGCATAATCAACTGTACTGAACCTAGTATTACACATATAAGTAAAATATCCCAGGAAATCTCCCCCAAAAAAAACGGCCATTGAGTATATGTAGCCTTGAGGATGAACATAATTCAAGTAATTTATTCCCCAGAGTATTCAAAGTGTTATCTTGATTTACTCTTCTGATTTCAATATCAGTTATATAGCTCTCTGGAAGAAGGTTAATACATGTACCACCAAAATTATTTATTTCATCTGAGTCATTTTCTATGTAATCTGCTTTCATTGCAGTTCTAGAATTAAAATCCCCAATTAAAATAATTTGTCCTTCAATAGAAAATGAACTAATTTCATTTTCAAGATTTTCTAAGTCACTATCATAATGTGCTGATGAAAAAGGGGGAATATAAACAGCACAAAGATATAATTCTTGTTTTAGTCCAAAGAAATACTTTAGCTTTAACCATAATCTATTCTGGGATGACGTAGCATCTTTAAGATAAGAAATCCCCTTGTAAAATTGTTTTTTAATCGTGACTATAATGCCTCCACTATGTCTATTGGCTTTTTTGGTTTTCTTGCGTATTTTAGAGATAATGTTATAGCCTTCAATTTTAAAATCTTCCGACCCCCCCCCTTCCAGGTTTTTAAAAGTATATTTATATCTTTATTTAAAAAATCCAGAAACATTGGGTCTTTCATCTTATCCCCAAGGCCATGTACAATTTCCATGAGGAAATTGACAATTTTTTATGAACTCTGTTCATTTTTAATTTTGACTAGTGCCAGTTATATATTAAACCTTCTTGTTGGCCAGAAAACCTTCAATTATAATTAGACAGTTTGGTTAATGTTTCTATAAACATGATAGATTTAAACTATAATAATAGTTCCAAATATTTATTTTTTTATTTTTTTTTATTCATGACTGCTAACAATACAACAGTCTAGGGGAAATAACTCTTTTCATTGTTAAAATGAATATTACAAGTGTTCTGTAGAACTAACTGAATACTACAAGTGTTCTGTAGAACTAACTTTAACATAATAAATCACCCCAAAAAAATATATATATACAGATATTTCTACATTTCTTCATGAAACTAATATATTTTTCTAAACACCCATCACGAATATGTACAGTGTATATTGAAAAATAAGCAATTTTATCTCATTACATTGTACTTTTTATGCGGTGAGGGCATTAAGTTTTACCCTTGTCCGTCTGTACGTACGTACGTCCCAAAATTGGTTTCTGTTCTCTAACTTGAGTTTGTCTCAACCAAATGTTATGAAACTTATACACAATGCTTTTTACCACAAAACACAGATCAAGTTTGAATTTTGATGGCGTCACTTTAACCATTCCAGAGTTATGCCCCTTTTTAAATGGAAAAATTGCAAAATTTTTAGTTTTAGTTCTCTTACTTAAGTTTGCCTCAACAAAATGTTATGACACTTATACACAATGCTTATTACTACCCGAAGGGCCAAGTGAGCTTTTCTCATCACTTGGCGTCCGTCGTCCGTCGTCCTCCATCGTCGTTAGCTTTTTACCGTTTACAAATCTTCTCCTCTGAAACCACTGGGCCAAATTTAACCAAACTTGGCCACAATCATCATTAGGGTATCTAGTTTTAAAAATGTGTCCGATGACCCCGCCAACCAACCAAGATGGCCGCCATGGCTAAAAATAGAACATAGGGGTAAAATGTAGATTTTGGCTTATATCTCTGAAACCAAAGCATTTAGAGTAAATCTGACATAGGGTAAAACTTATTATCAGGTCAAGATCTATCTTCCCTGAAATTTTCAGACAAATCTGACAACCTGTTGTTGGGTTGCTGCCCCTGAATTGGTAATTTTAAGGAAATTTTGCAGTTTTTGGTTATTATCTTGAATATTATTATAGAAAGAGATAAACTGTAAACAGCAATAATGTTCAGCAAAGTAAGATCTACAAATAAGTTGCATGACCAAAATTGTCAGTCGACCCCTTTAGGAGTTATTGCCCTTAATAGTCAATTTTTAACAATTTTTCGTAAATTTTTGTAATCTTTTACAAAAATCTTCTTCTCTGAAACTACTGAGACAAATTTAACCATACTTGGCCATAATCATTATTAGGGTATCTAGTTTAAAAAATTTGTCCGATGACCCCCGCCTACCAACCATCATGGCCAATTTGGTTAAAAATAGAACATAGGGGTAAAATGCAGTTTTTGGTTTATATCTCTGAAACTAAAGCATTTAGAGCAAATCTGACAGGTGGCAAATATGTTCATCAGATTTAGATTTATCTGCCCTGTAATTTTCAGACAAATCCGACAACCCGTTGTTGGGTTGCTGCCCCTGAGTTAGTAATTTTACAAAAAAATTGCAGTTTTTTGTTGTTATCTTAGATATCATTATAATATCTAATATATCTAATACTATTAATTATGATTTTAACCTTATTTAACATGATTTCCAAAGCATCAGTAAATAAAGGTGAGCGACACAGGCTCTTGATAGCCTCTAGTTTAATCATCTTATTGTTGTAATAATACTAGTTAATCCTTTTATTATTTCGACTAAAATTTTCTTATCAAAACTTGAATATTTACATTCTAAAATGCATAGGGCTTTTTACAAGTCCCACTCCTAACTATTAATAGACTAATACCTGGATACCAATAATCGTAAATATTGTAAACACGGCAATTTTGGCAAAATGCTAACCCTTGTCAACACTCCTTGTCTCATTAATTTGTTTTAATAAGATATATAATAACTAAACTCTTTGTTACTGGGCTACTTTATTCCCTTCTAAATTAGCTTTCGTTTAGCATACATATTTGCATAATTTACCTTCATCATGTTTAGTATTCTACTTTCTTTTTCCATACGATTTAAGTCCGCCATAGATTTCTTTTCAGTGGATCGAATTATATAGGACAATCTCCATTGTGTTTCGGCCTTAATATAACCGTGGGATTGTAAACCGTTGTATTCCGTTTAAACAGAATGTTTTGTGTCATGTACACAGTGTAAAGTGCGTATCCAGTTAGTTCATTTTCACTGTTGTATGCGAGTATGTCTATTGTAGAATAAAGGATGATGGGAAAAACTGCGTTTGTTTACTTTTTGAAAATACAAAATAATTGATTTGAATATATGTTTTAACAGAATTTCAATAGAATATAAATTTTTAATTCATAATAACAGGATTAAAGTCCAAGAAAGTGTAATTTAAGCAGCAGAATCCATAATATTAATTTCTGAATGCGATTCATTTTAACTATAGATGCGATGAATTATCACTGTAAGTGCAATCATTTCTGATGTGGAATTTTTGGAGGTGCGATGAATTTTCATTGTCGTTTTATATGATAATTCGACATGCAACAACTGAAAATAGTTTTTAAATAACTTTGATATTGATGATATTTAAAATGCAAGCTAGTCGTAGATACTTACTTGAATATACACGGGTATAAGGTAACCACGTTCATATCATGCATATTCAAAAATTGTTGGTGTGTTTGTTATTAGCTTGTCATGGATCCGAAAATTTACTGGAGCAGAACATCCATGAATATAACGTATTTCTACGATGAAAAGTTTAAGAACTCGCTTAAAAAACGCTTTGAAAATTTGTCACGCCGTGTCATACATATTTCTTCATATTGATATCTACAACGAACGATAGTAAAGAAAGTAAACAAAATACAAAGAGAATGAATCGTACAGTGCCAAAATTCTGAGGTCAGTTTTTCAAGTAAATGTCTTCAAATAAAATTAAAACAATGGGTTTTTCATTCGTATTATGTATTTTTATTCACTTGTTGTCGAGTATCGAGTTGCAAGTTACAAAAGTCGAGTTGCGAGTTATGAAAGTCGAGTTGCGAGTTACAAAAGTCGAGTTGCGAGTTTCGAAAGTCGAGTTGCGAGTTACAAATGTCGAGTTGCGAGTTACGAAAGTCGAGTTGCGAGTTACGAAAGTCGAGTTGCGAGTTACGAAAGTCGAGTTGCGAGTTACAAAATTAGATTTGCGTGAAAATGGGGTAAACTATTTTAAATTTTTTGGTGAACCTCTTTAACATTTTTGAATGATGATTGCTTATTGAATTGTATACAGTATTGTTGATTCTTTTTGTTGTTTGGACTTCATCTGAGTCTCGTGTAAAAAAAAATGAATGGATTGCTTACATATAATCACTACGCAACGTATGGTTATTTTCTGAAGAAACAGATAGCCTTTTGAAATACAGCGGATGGCTTGTATTCTAATTATCATTAAATTTCATAGCTAGCACCGTCATATTAAACGTAAAGGGAGATAGCAACTAAACTATAGTACATATATGTAAAAGACCCCTTCTGCAGATTTTGTTAAGAGTGGACTATTTGTGGCAGCTGCAGAGGAAATATTTGTTAGGGACCCCAAAATTTATTCTTTGGCAGTGACACTCAAAATTGTGGACGTTTAAGTTATGTATTTCTAAATTGGCTAGAGGTGAAGGGGGAAGGTTGAACGCTCATAATACCTGTTTAACCCCGCCGCATTTTTGCGTCTGTCCTAAGTCAGGAACCTCTTGCCTTTGTTGGTCTTGTATATGTTTTAATTTTGGTTCATCTACATGTTTTGGAGCATAGAATGGCGTCCATATTCTTGATATAGTGTTCATTGTGTTTCGGGGCCTACTCGGGGCTGCCTCTGGGTGTGGGATTTCTCGCTGTGTTGAAGACACATTGGTGGCCTTGGGTTGACTTGTATATTTTGGTTGGGTTGTTATCTCTTTGACACATTCCCCATTTCCATTCTTTATTCTATACATGTAGCTGTCAAAGATACTTTTGTAAAAGAGACAAAAGAAGCAGTATTGGAATATGTAACTTCTTTCTAAAAAACGGGTTAATCATAACCAATACAAAAAAGAAGATGTGGTATGATTGCCGATGAGACAACTCTCCACAAGAGACCAAATGACACAGAAATTAACATTTATAGGTCAACGTACGGCCTTCAACAATCAGCAAAGCCCATTCTGCACAGTCAGCTATAATGACAAAGTATATAAAACAATTCAAACGAGAAAACTAACGGCCTAATTTATGTACAAAAAATGAACGAAAAACAAATATGTAACAAAATAACAAACGACAACCACTGAATTACAGGCTCCTGGCTTGGGACAGGCACATACATACAAAATGTGGCGGGGTTAAACATGTTAGCGGGATCCCCCCCCCCCCCCTTAACCTGGGACAGTGGTGTAACAGTACAACATAAGAACGAACTATAAAAATCAGTTCAAACAGGCTTAACTCATCAGATGGATAAAAATACAAATACTACAAATACAAGTGGACGTGGCCGGGTACTTGTACATCCAAACAACAGAAAGACACTTAGTACTGTGACAGATCTGAGAGTACTCGCAGTTACTGACAGCAGTTTAAAGCCACTAACAACTAATAAAAAAAAATCATAACCAAATCAATGAAGTTAATTTAGGAATAACATGCTGACAAATATAACTCTTTTGACTTTTTTAAAACGTTGTTTTATATGATACACAATGGCTATTTAATTCATTTTTTTTTTGGGGTGCATGCGTCCTTTAAGGATACATTTTTTTCAAACATTTCCAGAAATAAAACACCAAATGTGTTTTGTTTTCATTAAAATCCGAACAATTTATTAGAAACTTAATGTCAATATATATATTTTCTCCTAATTTTCAGTAGAAATAATCTTTAAATTTATTCACTTCCATTTTAGACAATTTTTTTCTCAAGGAATTCAGAATCAAACAATTCTTTAAAAAAAACCTACGCTTTTCCAAAATATGGATGGCAGATACCTGAATGTACAACTTGATGCCATACTTACCTGGGTAAAACTTTTTTCATGTGCTCTCGTGACAGGTTATACATGATATTAAAATGAAAAGGAAGCACTTTTTTGGTTAGAAAAATGTACAATACCCAGCTGATATCTGAAACTACAACATTTGTATCAAGGCTGCATCAGTGGGAAATCTAGTGACAACATATTACCTCCCCTGTAAATATTAAAAACAGGATCTTCTCAATGTTGTCCCATTTTAGGAAGGACGCTATCAATTATGGATTCACGGGAAAACGTTACCAACTTCAATTTATTTTTACCTTTATGGAACATGCTAATTATCCGAATATATATACAGCTAGATCCGAGAAAGTCAGGGAAAAAATTCCAAAGGAATCGATTGATATGCAGAAAAAAAAATTTGAGGTAAAATTATCGAAATGTTCTTCTAGAGTGGGTGCAATGTAGATATCTCGCCAAGCGAAAATATTTTGTGGTAAAATTAGCGAGAAATTAAAGTTTCAAGCTAAAACCGCCTAAATCCACCCCTGACAACAATCTACAATCACCATAAATTAATGTACAAGAAATCTGTGAGCTTCTATTCATTGAGACTAACCCCATATATTTACCAGAAAACGGGACGTAAGACAAGTAGAATAGAGACAGACCTCAATCCGGAGTACACAAGCTGACCCTCCATATAAAAAAAATCAAGTGAATGTTATGTCAATGGTTAATGAGAAAACTGGTGTAACATTCATATGAGTCAATTGAATATATTCGGGGGGAAATGAAGTAATATGTAATAGATTTGTATGCGTGCAAATGCAATACTGGACTCCTAGCGGATCCTCCGGACCAAATATCAAGTGACTGACTGTTGGATGAACGGACAGAAGTAAAACTATGTCCCTGTTTTCGCGAAGAGCCTCTGAGGTTAGATGGCAAGGTATCCTACAAAATTGGAAAAATCAACAACGATCTCCTAACATCCCTAACTTACGCCCTAAGGGATTCATAATGAGTTTTTAATTTTTTGATTTTCGGAGGTCGTGCCAGACTTTATATATACTGTTTTTGCCGCAAACCACTAAAATCAAAATTAGATGCTTTTACGAAGTTATGTTTATTTTCTTGGGATCCCATGTAATACGGTAGTACGGGTCGGGGGCCTTGATCGTTTATGCATACTTCGGCAAAATTTAAGGTTGCAAGTGAGAAATATATATAGACACAGAGATATTAAATAATGATACAAATTAATAAACTAACCTTTCGCTTGAAACAGTATTTCTATCTTTCATTAAGATTGAATATAACCTGGATTGTTTTCTTGGCTGTGCCATGATGAAATAACCAACCCAACCGCGGTTAGGGCACATTCACCTACTTCGTGGGAATGTGAGTTAGGGATGTTTTGAAACTTCGATTATCAAAGAAACTGTTTATAAAAACCGTAAATACAATGTAGCAATTGTTTTTACTTTAACTGCTAAAAACCTCTAATACTTGTCATCAAACGCATCACCGCGTTTGACACATTCCTTTGAAGTATATAATATTTATAGAACTTAAATAAACCGTAGTTCAGTTGATGAGTAATCAATTCACGTTGGTTCTGTTAAACTTACTGTTTATAATATAATTTGAATGTTAAAACGGATGGAATGCGACGGCTTTAATTTTCGTCGTCTCTTTAGCTGTTTAGATACTTTATTAAGCTGAGGACAACCCATGCTTTGCAAATTGTAGGGGGCGCGCGCCCGCCACGCCCCCGCCTGTATCCGCCCCTGTTTGAAGGTATATTTCATTTGTCTACATGATTTATCTTCTTATGCTTGATTTGTTCAGTACGGTATACATTTTGTCTTATATCTACAGTATATCTTGTTTAATTTTAGAAAATGAACAATGTCGTTCTCATGAAAGAAATTTAAGCGTGCGTGACTTTGCAACATATAAACTCTTATAAATAAGTATCACATAACTCTTTCAAATCCTGCAATCAAAATACCGGGACCCTTCCTTATGCAGTATATAACTTAGTTCGGGTACATGTATGCTTTGTTTATTAAATGCGAAGTAAACCTGAAAATTCTGTTTCAAAAATCAGACGACACGACCGTTTATATATAATTCTTCAGAAATTAGAGAAACATAATATTTTTGTAACTTGCAACTCGACCTTCGTAACTCGCAACTCGACTGGCTTTCGTAACTCGCAACTCGACTTTCGTAACTCGCCACTCGACTTTCGTAACTCGCA